GTCCTGTTCTCCTTCTGTCTACACTCTTATCGAATACTTCTATAACCTATCCAATCATATAAACCCCTGTGTTCCGGTGTGAGGGGCATCATTAGCCGGGAGCAGCTAACACTGGTGGCAGCGGAAAACGTCCACCACTACATCGCTGGCGGAGTATGTACGCCTTCGGAGATCGCCGACTATGAAGTACCACGAAGGCCCACGCAAGTGAAACCATATCCTCATCCACTCTCTTCGTCAATATTTTCCTATCTGCATTGTGTTTCTTTCTGCTCGTCGTTTTCTTGTTGCATGCATTGTTTACCATGGTTTACAGTCCATAGGTCAAGCATTGGCGCCAACCTGTCTGGCCAAACATTTTCGTAACATTTTCTGTGTCCGTGTTTTGTGCATACTGGCTGCTGTCTAGTGTCTTGTTAGGATAACTGCTGGCTGGGTAGTAGAGTCTACACTGTGTCCGTAGAGTACTAGTAGTTGCCTATTTGGAATTGTCTCTGCCAAATTAAGTAATTAGTTGTTTGCCGCTACGCACGATAGGTTACGTAATAGATTGAGATCGATAGTTGATCGAGTCCACGGGAAATTTTTGCAGATATTTTTTTTCGAAAACTCAAAAATACAAAAACAATTTTTTTTTTTTTCACAATGGGCCGTACAGCGAAATCCAAGAGACAAGAAAAGCTAGAGCGTAGCTTCGCGGAAGCTGGCTGTGACATGAGCATTGCTGAAGAGCGCGAGAGTTCGCCGGTACAAGGGTTGTCCCATCGTTTTCGTTTGCCGGACACAGACACACCACATGCACGTCCACTGCCGAAGCCAGTCTTGCTTCCTGAGACATTCGGAAATCAGCCAGGCCAAGATTTCACCACGTACATGAGGCATTTCGTCCACACATGCGAGCTGAGTGGGTACGACGACGACCAAAAGCTACGGCTACTACCTGCTCGCCTTGTTGGTACAGCTCATGAGATGTTCACCGAAATTCTAACTCACACGCGTGACATAAACTTTTCCGACGCAGTCGAGGCTCTGCATGTCCGTCTTGAGCCGCCCCAGCAAGCATTGATGCACGAGGCCAGTCTTCGCCAGCGAGTGAAGCTGGCGAGTGAAACTCAGCACGGGTATGCCACGGAACTTCGTCGGCTCGCTCGTCGAGCCTACCCAGGACAACAAGGTGCACTGCTTGATTCAATGCTTTTGCAACTTTTTATTGATGGCCAGGCATCGAAGGATTTGCGCTTGGCGTTGGCGTCACCTCGGCCCACTGATTTGGATGCGGCGGTCCAAAAGGCCATCGAGGTAGGTGCTATTTATGCTCGCGAGCAGGCCCGCACCGTACCTCACCAGTACGCACAGCCCGTATTTGCTGCTGCTCCGGAAGTGAAGCCCCGTCATGGTCGTGACCATGGTGACCCCTACACAGCAGTCGGTCCACTGAAGTCGGAATCTGAGCGAGACCAGTTGGCTTCGCTTTTGTCGAGTTTTGATTCGCGTCTCTCTGCTTTGGAGGCGAAAATGGAGAGCGTGAGTCTGTATCGCCCCACCCGACCCCAGCAAGACCATGTACGTTTTGTTGCTCGTGGTGCTGGTGCTGGTGCGCCTAGTCGTGGTCGTGGCCAGAGTTTTGCGAGGCCTGTCCGTGGAGTGTGCCATGGATGTGGTGAAGAGGGCCACTTCATTGCATCTTGCCCGCACGCAAAAAACTAGGTTGGACTGGTGACACGGGGCCGCCGTCAGTCGTCCGAGTGGAGCCCCTCGAGGAGGTATGTGGTGCGATCGCACCCATTATTGTGCACGTTGATGTTTGTCTTTCGTCTTCGTCTCCTGTTGTTGCTCTTGTTGATTCTGGTTCAAGTGTGTCGTTAGTGCATTCTAAATTGTTGCCTAATTTGACAGAGCGACCTCCTCTAGAGTCTGCTCCGCGGTTGTGTGCAGTCAATGGCGCACAACTTCCTGGATCCATGGATCTGTGTATATCGCTAGGAAATTTGTCTTTCCAGCACACAGTTGTAGTCTCACCTGGTATTCACTGCGACATGATTCTTGGTTCCGATTTTTTGTTGCAGCATGGTGGTGTATTAGATATTGCTCGTGGTGTTGTGATGTTTGGCGATGTGTCTGTTCCGTTGCATGTTTCTGGTTCTGGGTGTCCTCCGTCACGTACGCCCTATGATCGTATTGTTCCGCGTAATACTTCCCCCTCATGTAATACTCATAGTACTCCTCATTCTGATGCATGCTCCGACGATGTACCTGTTTCGTCGTATTCTTCTCGTGTTGCCCTTGACGATTCATTGTCTGCACGGGTTGTTGAACCCATGGCTCAACCTGGCGTTGTCCCGGCGTGTGCGCCCGAAAGTGTGGCCGACCCTGTGGTATACTCATCTCGTGTGGTGTTTGAGATGGAGTTGTCGGTACCTGCAGGACATGTTGTCTTGGTGCCTTGTGCAGCTGTTGATGTGTGCACGGTTGCGATGGATTGCGTGGCAGATCCATTGGAGTCCTTTATGGCGAAGCATCCAGATGTGGCAGTGACTCCTAGTCTTGTAACTGTTGGCCCTAACCAAACACGTGTGGTTGTGGCTGTTGAAAATCATGCAAATCATCCTATACTCATTCATAAAAATACCAATGTTGCCGAACTTCATCAAATTCCTACAGATTGTGAACATATTGACGACACTGAAGCTATGGTTTCCTCAGTTTCACCCGACCCGATCCCGCTAACTGAGCAACGCAAGAAAGTCATCGATGAATATATCAACGCACAAAATCATCTCTCCACAGAACAGTCTCGCACGCTCACTGAACTACTTCATGATAACCACGATTTATTTATCTTGCATGATGATGACTATGGCTACTGTGACATATTCCCTCATAAAATTAACACAGGACAAAATAACCCTATAAAACAACCTACCAGGCGGATTCCATATCACCGCCGGAAGGCTCTGCAAGATCTACTGAATACGCTGTTAAAGCAAGGCATAATACAAGAATCGATTAGTCCGTGGGCATCACCCATAGTATTGGTGCCAAAGAAGGATGGCTCTCTTCGACTCTGTATCGACTACAGGAAGTTGAACTCTGTCACCGAGCCTGATGCTTACCCGATTCCCCGGGCGGATGACATGCTTGATTCCCTGTCTGGCTGTCGGTATTTCACGTCCCTTGACTTAGCGTCCGGGTACTGGCAAATAGCAATGGAAGGAAGCGACAAGGCTAAGACGGCATTTACCACGCCACTGGGCTTGTTTGAGTTTAATGTTCTGCCGATGGGCTGCAGGAATGGCCCAGCGACATTTCAGCGCGTAATGGAAGCAGTCCTGAGTGGCTTATGTAACACACCGGCCCAGCCATTCTGCCGTGTGTTCTTTGATGATGTCCTGAATGCCAGCGAAACACTGTCTGGCCAACTCCAGATTCTGCTGCCCGTGTTCGCGCGAGTTCGGTCCGCTGGACTGCGGTTCAATCTGAAGAAATGCTCCTTCTTCCAGGAGGAGGTCACTTTCCTAGGACACCGCGTGTCAGCGGAGGGCATCTCCCCGAATGAAGCCAAACTCGTCGCGGTCAGGAACTGGAAGACTCCGAAATCTGTCACAGCTGTCCGCGAGTTCCTTGGCTTCGCTGGATATTATCGCCGCTTCATCCGTGGGTTCGCCCAGCGTGCTGCTCCGCTGACTGCTCTGACAGGCAAGAATGCTCGCTTTGCATGGTCGAAAGCTTGCGAAGCGGCGTTCCAGGCTCTGAAGCGTTCGCTTGCCAGTGCGCCGGTGATGGCGTACCCCCAGTTTGAAGATTCAGCAGGTGCATTCATTCTGGACACCGATGCGAGCAATGTGTCGATTGGTGCAGTCCTCAGTCAGATCCAGGATGGAACTGAGCGACCAATTGGGTACGGCAGTCGTGTACTGACGAAAGCTGAGCGCAACTACGATGCTAGCGATCGTGAGGCCCTTGCTCTGGTCTATTTTGCGGAGTATTTCAGGCACTACTTGTTGGCACGACCATTTGTTGCCAGGACGGACAATACTGCGTTGACTGCACTCCGGAACCTGAAGGAACCCCGCGGACGGAAAGCACGTTGGCTTGACTGTTTATCCGAATATGAATTCCGAGTCGTCCACCGTCCAGGTCGCCAACATCTGAATGCTGATGGTCTGTCGCGCTTGCTAGCCGAACCTGAAGCACATGTGCACAGTGAGTCTCCGCCACTGGCACCAACGCCGCCGCAAGATGCTGCACCGTCTCCTCCGCCGAGTCCGCCGCCTCTTGCCCGTGATGTTCCGTTGTCAGCTGCTGATGAAATGCCACTTGCTGCTGATGTTCCTCCGGCTGCCGAGATTATTCCTCCGGCCGTTTTTGTTCGTCCTCCTGGTTCCTCTGCCGCTGGACCGTCGTCACCTGATTGTTTCAAGCCTCAGAGTCTTCTTGCTCCGTATGCTGATCCTGCTCTGTCTGAGTGTTTCACCCGATATGATGCTGCCAGTGGCAAGTTTGTTCGTCCGCCTGAAGCCGTTTCCCGTCCTCCCGACTGTCACCCGCCTGCCGTTACTGCTTCTCGTCCTGACCCGATTACGCTGTCCGATGATGATTTGCCACGCTGCGTTCCGCCGCTACAGCCGCCGTCGTCTGCTCCGGTCCGTACTTCTTCTCCTGTTTCTCGTCGTTCTGGCCGTGTTCGCACTGCACCTGCTCGACTAGCTGACTATGTCCTGGACTGAGTTTATTATTTGGTTTGTTTTCTTTTGTTGTTTCCTAGGTATTTCGTTCATTCCCGTGGACGTGAATTTTAGCTAGGGGGGCACAGTGTAATAGGTGTATGTATGCTACGACCTGAATACTCACTATTTGTATTTCCCGCTCGTTCCCCTTGGCAATGAGCACTCACATAGAAGAGCGCATGCTCCAGTTCTGTTGTAGTCTAGTCTTGAGTTGTCGTTGTCCTGTTCTCCTTCTGTCTACACTCTTATCGAATACTTCTATAACCTATCCAATCATATAAACCCCTGTGTTCCGGTGTGAGGGGCATCATTAGCCGGGAGCAGCTAACACCAGCAAACAAGTTGAAAAGGACTGGTGCCATTGTACACCCTTGGCGCAATCCGTTGCACACTGGGAAGCCTTTAGTGGGGGAACCATTAACGATGATCGTGGCTGTCATGTTGTCGTGAAAAGACTTCAGAAGGCTGACCAGTTGCTCCGGGACTCCCAGCTTCAGCAGGACAATCCACAGTGCAGCACGCGGAACAGAATCGTATGCCTTCCTCAAATCGACAAACACCAGGAATCCCTTGGATTGGTGCTCGTGACACTTCTCCACAACCTGGCGAACAACAAACGTCATGTCCGTGCAGGAGCGACCTTTCCGGAAACCACACTGTGATTCAGGCAGCACACTTTCGGCGACTTTCTGCAATCGGTTTTGCAGCAGGCGTCCGAACAGCTTGCCAATGACGTCGAGGAGTGCGATGCCACGCCAGTTGTCGCAGCTAGTGAGGTCACCCTTCTTGGGTATCGGTTTTATCTCAGCATTCACCCAATCTTGCGGTACTACGCCCTCCTCCCAAACCGCGGTAATGAGCTTAAACAGATTGGCATAGAATAGGTCGCAGTTGTATTTGACCATTTCCGGTAGAATGCCGGAGCTTCCAGCAGCTTTCCCGTTCGTAAGATAGCGAAGGCAGCGCTGGGCCTCTTCAGCAGTGGGTGGGGTGGCCTGGTGTTCCATGATGTTGCGCTGCTGGACCAAGTCAATTTCAGATCGGACAAAGCCGCTTGGAAGGTTCAGCAGCTTTTCGAAATGTTCAGACCAGCGGTTCTGCTGTGCCTCAACGGACGAGCATGGTGATCCATCAGTCTGTTTGATCAGGCACGACTTAGTGGGAATCAATCCGCGCCGGGCAGTCTGTAGATCCCGGATGCTGTTCCACACAGCCTTACACCCAAACTTCCTAGATTCGGCATCAGACGCAGTCTTACGGAACCAGTCCTCCTTAGCACTGCGTACAGCATCCCTTGCAGCTGAGCGCGCGCGGACAAACTCTCGCCGGACCAGAGGTGATGGATCTGCTAAAGATTTCTGGAATAGAGTGTTACGATGTGCAAGGAGAGGCTCGAGAGTGGCAGAACTGGCTGAGAACCAATCTGGCTGACAACGGCGACTCTTGCCTAGGACAGAGGTAGCTGCTTTAACTGTGGCGTCCCGTAGTGAACTCCATTGATCCTGAACTGAGGTCCCTGGTGCAGCGTCTTGCAGACAGTCGGATGAGGTATGGTACCACTCCGCCACAGTTGCTTGCCTAACTAAATCATCATCCTCTGATGCGGTTGGGTCAGCAGGTCCGAGCTGGGATACATCAAAGCGACGGCGATCAGGGGCCTTGCTCTTTGGCGGGTAGAAACGCCGGCGGCAACCAAGTGACAACGTTAGCCCAACAAGTTTGTGATCGGTCCCACACTCAGCAGACCGGTACACACGACAATCTGTACAGCGCTGAAAATCCCGCTGCCGGGTGATCACATAATCAATACAGTGCCAATGCTGTGAACGTGGGTGCTGCCAGGTAACTTTATGAATGTCCTTTTTCTTGAAGTATGTATTACAGAGTCGAGAGTTGAACATGGATAGAAAGCTCAACAGTTCCTCAACAGCTTCATTCATGGTACCAACGCCATAAGGACCACGCACTTGCCTCCATGCGTCCTCTTCATGACCTGGGCTGCTGCCAACACGGGCGTTGAAGTCACCAAGTACGACGTACAAATCGCGCTCCGGGATGGATAACAGACAATCACGAATAAATAAAATAAAATTTCTCCTTTTCATGGCGAGGCCTCGCGAATGTTGGAGTGTAGCAGGAAATGACATGCAGCCACTGATCGCCAAACAACAGTTTCGCCACATCTCGCGAGCTGACAGCTCGCCACTGACACCCGCCGTTTTTCCACGCTCATTGGGCCAAACCTAAAAGAACGATTGCAACTCCCTCGCCGCGATATGCGGGCATTCCTCGCTCTGTTGGGACGGGGCGTCCTGCATTTAGAACAGACGCTCCACTGATCACATACTCATGATCGCCGAACCATTTCGTCTCCTGAAGACCTGCGACTGAGAAATTCAAATTTTGAATTTGGTGAAGAACAATTTGAATTTTTTTGTCTTCCGCGACGGGCAAGCTTCTTTCGTGACGAGCTGTCTCGATGCTTCCATCATTCTCCACTAAGCTGTTGACGTTCCAGGTACAAAACTTCAACACAAACGCTTCGTTTCTCCGTCTCCTACTTCGTGCAAGAGGGTCTACCTGGAGGTTTCCAAAACCATCGCAGGTGTTGTGGGTACGTGGCGGGTTGCAAGTGGCAACATCAGGCGTTGCCCCGTCATTGCTTCCCAGGTCTCCACGCACCATACTCACAACCTAGCCAGGGGTGGCCCTAGGCCACCCCTGGGGATATTATAGCTGAGCAAACTTGTGAACCAGCAGAGCTCAAAAAAGTGCTTCCTACTCCAACACACCTTGGACCTTGGACCTTGGACGCCCATCGCCGTAAGGCGATGATAGCTAGCGAGCTGAGCAATATCTTGCATGGCGTTTGAGGTCTCCTGACCGACCAAAAACGCGACCACAGGGGCAGGGGAATGTGTCCACCCTCTGCACAGGAGCGCGACGATGCTGTGTAAGTTGCCTCCAATCTGCGCGGTTCTGAGCTGCGTCATACCAGCCCCTATCCGAGATCTCTGCCTCCTTCAAGTCAGCACACACACACACACACACACACACACCTGTCCTGTCCTGTCCTGTAGAGCCACTGCCACAGGGGTCATGTGGGCCCCGGAGGGGCATCAGAGAGGAAGATGGAGCACGCAGCCTGATGACGCCAGAGATGGTGGGGCAAACGGAACCGGCGAGAACACACGCATACATGGCTGAACGAATTACGCTGCTGGGCAGTCGGGCGCGGGCCAGTCCTCGAGCACCGGTGACGACCGCGGCCTTGCACAGACCGAAAGCAGCGGGCACACACAGCACAGTGCGCAGCACAGCAGGTATCCTGCACGTAGTCTTGCCGGGGCTCGGGAGGCTGAGGCTGAGGTGCGGAACAGCGGTGAACAGCTAGACCACCCTTGCTGCGAAACCAACGCCCACAATCTCCACAGTGGCAAGCCCCTCGCTGCTCAGCAATCGGCTTTGCCCGCTCAACCACACATTTGTGGCGAGCACGATCTCCAGGGCGCGAGAATGACCGATTGCAATCCGCACATACCACTGGGTCAGGCTGAGGCACATTCTCCACAGGCTCGGCATACATAGTCCGCCAGTCAGCGCGGGACTCACAGGCGATAGGGTACCATTCCTTGGTGAGGCCACGAACTCTTAGGTCGGAGACGACGCAATCCTTCCAGTGCTTGCGAGGGCCATGTGCTGGGCGACGTGTGAGAAGTGAGCCAAACAGGATCTGTCTCGGCATCCGGCTACTGTCCATTCGGGCAACATGGCCCAGCCACTTTTGGCGACGCTGTGCGACCTTCACGCAGATGGTATCAGAGTCACCTCACATCTCCAACACACACACACACACACACACACACACACACACACACACACACACACACACACACACACACACACATACAGACACACACATACACACACACATACACACAAACACACACACACATTACTATGATACAGCTACATTAAAAACGGGTCAAGTCGCCCTCAACCCAAGCATGAGCACTATGAGGGGCAATGGAAAATAAAGAGAATCAGCTAGCAGAACTGGCAAAACAGATGAAACAATGGAGTAGAACGGGCTACTGCTGGGCTGTATACACACCCAGACACACACACACACACCTTGAACCTTGAACCTTGAAACTGCCACCTAAAGGTGATGCAGTGCCTCAAAGAGGCAAGGAGGGCAGAGTTACTTCTTGCATTTGTGTTGAGCCAGGTACTGGAGACGTGTGAACCTCTGCGAGCAGGTCGGGCACACAACTCCACAATGCGTGTGGAGTTTACTCCAAGTTTGGCGAACTTCGTCATCCACTCCTCCAGCAAGCGGTGGATATGTCCATCGTTACAGAGTCGAAGCTTACCTCAGACAAATGCTCACAAGTGGAGGCAGCCACCCCAGGCTACTCCTGACCTATCTGCCGAGACAGAATTGCGAGTAGTAGTAGTAGTAGAATATTTTATTATTTTACTAGGGGAATCCCAGCAGGCGTTGCCTTTTTACTGGAAACCCTAGGTGAATTTTTACCATGTTTACATACAGAGTAAGAGACGGGGCCAGACGGCAGTCAATGGGAAGAGCATTCCATCTGTCTGCCGACAGGAACGAAATAGAACGCATGCCAATGGTGGCGGAATTGCTGTCTGGCTGAAGCAAGGGCTCGTTTATCAGCACTTGGAGAGATACCAATCCGACGCTCATGAGGTCATCTGGCTTACTGTTTTGAACACACAGAACCTGAAAACGGTTATTGGAGCTGTCTACCGCCCTGGGTCCAGTAGCGACTCAGACGTCTCCCTCATAGAGTACCTGGACACCACAATCGACCTTGTGCGACACAGCGCTGCTCACACCATCCTCGCAGGGGACTTCAATGTGCTCAATGCCAGGTGGCTTGTACACATGGAGACAACTTCAGCCGGCGAGTACTTCTTGTAGTACATGGAAGAGGTGACTGCTCGGCATCAGCTCATCCAGCATTTTAAATTATTCTTTATTTCCACGATGACCCATGGCCAATAAGGAAGATCATGTGATTCAAATCAGTCCAGAATCATATAAAATCAGTCTAGCAAGTAAGGAAACCAACACATTGCAGGGGGATGGGGTTACGATGGGGTACAGTGTGAGCTACTACAGGAACACATGGATGATAGAATGAGGCTAGACGCCATTGATTTAAACGCATGCTTGCTATTTGTTTCACGCAGGTTGGGGGGTTTGAAAGGGGGCATTTATCTGCTCCAACTTGAGGCTCAATACTCTCGATCTAATTCTCTCCGATTATCCGGAAACCTGTACCTCCCTGTTACCTCCCCTCGGAAAGTCTGACCACCAGATTGCACTCAAGTACTATGTTCCTTTGTCTCAGCAGTGCCCGCGCTAGGGAGCCTCCCACGTCTAGGCGTGTGTGGTGCTACAACCTTGCTGACTGGAGCCGCCTGCGAGCATTCCTGCGCACCTCAGACTGGGGTTCCCTTCTACAGGATGACCCAGGGGAGGCCTGCACTCGCCTGACTCAGCAAATTCAGCAGGGCATGGCAATGTTCATCCCTAGCAAACAACTTATCAAACGCCCATCGAATCCGACTTGGTGCACACCTGAATGCAATGCTGCTGTCGCCGCAAAGCAACAAGCTTGGAAGGCGTGGCAGCGTTATCCAGGCTAACAACAGTCACAACGTATGTATTCCGATGTCGTGGCACAGAATATTCGCACAATGGCAAGAGCACAAGCTGTCCAACAGATTACACTTCGCACTAAGCTTACAACTGGCGGTCTCAAAGACAAGGAATGGTGGAGTACCATTAAGCGTGCAGGTGGTTTTGGACACCAGTCTGATATTCCCACACTCATTGATGAGAACAGCAGAGAGCACCGCACCGCGAAGGACAAGTTGGAATGTTTTGGGAATTTCTTCTCACAGAAATTCAGTCTTGGAGACAATGACATTGACCCGTCCAGCCTTCCAAGAACGAAGCAACACAACCCACCAGCATTTGGCATGATACGCTTTCGCAATGCTGAGGTTCAGAGGGAGCTCCACAAGTTGCTACATACCCACTCTTTCAGCGCACTTCCCCTTTTCTCTTGTACATGCAAATTCATACGCCTATTGTGTGTTTCGTTTGTTTTGTGCATGGACATACATACGCTCTCGCTTGCTTTCGTTATAAAAGGCCAGGTTCGCCCCTTGTTAATTGTTCTGACGATGGGTGACTGGCCTCAGTGGCCCGAAACGTCAATCAGTTTCGACATCACAAATATAAAAAAATTCATTCAGCGCATGCGCTAAGAAGTGAATTGCAGCTACCGGTAAATAGAGTGGTTGTCAGTTGACAAACCCCCTTTTATCCACCCTGCAGTTGCGTGATGTCCACCACTTTGAACTTTCTGAACGAACTCTTCAAAATTTGTTGACGAAAAATGTTGCTAAGGACAATTATTAGACTGTTTGTACAGGACCAGCAGAATTTTTTGTATTGTATTGTATTTAATTATTTTACTTGGGCATTCCCAACACTGACCCTAAGGTCTTCGTACAGGGTGCCCAAGATGAATGAAATTGTTAAGTTCCTGGCGAAATGAATTGGGGATATGATTTGTGCGAAGGGATTCGGGAAGCGCATTAAAGCGGTCAGCACCAAGAAATGAAATAGATCTGTATCCAGCTTGAGCTTGCACAATGGGTAAGGAAAGGGAATAATTGACTTGGCCGCGGGTTACTCTGTCTGTGTGAGCGCAGTCACGGCGAAGGGAGAACATGTCAG